GAAGATAATTTCTTTTTCATGCAGTTCTTGAAAAATTCTCTTCATAGAGTTTATATGATTCAGCATGTCTCCATTCTTTTGAAGATGTGTTCTAAACAGTTTCCGTGTAAGATTTATATGTGCTCCTACGCTGTCTCGAACATAAATCTTCTTTAAATTCTCCCAACATTTCGCAGCTGTTTCTTCTCCACGAATATGGACAAGCTGTTGGTCAGAGAGTGTCAGTCCTATTATACAGAGAGCTTGCTCATTCTTCATTGATATTCTTGTATTTTCTGGGCATCATCCTCATCTTCTGGATCCCATGCATCTACTTCTGGTGGGTTTTGTATTATACTCCACAAACCTTCTCTGCGTAGAAGTAGGCTGCATTTCATAGACCATGAAACATAGTTTGTTCCATCCAGTTTGGATATGAGAGACAAACTTTGTAAATTGACTTGTGCGATCTTTCTCTTGATATGAAACTGTAATTAATAAAACACAGCTGTCTGTTTACAGTATTGTGTTGCTACACAAACTCTCACTTTAAATAAGCCTGTTATATCCTGGTTAGTCTGACTGTGCAGCCTGGGCCCATAACCAGTGTTAGGGATATACACCCTAGCAGAACGTGCAACGGCAGTCTAGCAGGCAGGCAGATATGTGAGACAAAATGTTGTAGTAGCTTACACTCAGTAAGACAGATACACTGTGCAAGTTAAATAGTTTTTATTCCAGCAAGAGTATAGTCAAAACAGTCCATATGTCATACACTAAGTTCAGTCAGTCCGGGGATTATTCAGTTTGCAAAGTCCAGTGTCGAAAAAGAGGTCAGTAAACTTACAATCAATCAGTCCAGTGATATATCTCTTTTGCAGTCAGAGATATGAAGGAAAATCAAACCCCTTTTCTTCTCTCAGCAAACACGCAGTTATCACCATCAATCCATCATTGTCAGCAATTCAGTAAAAGCCGGCAAACAGTGAGCTATCTTGCTCCCTCTTATGGTGATTTTACAACCGCACCCAAAATACTTGGTTTACAGTTTAAAGTGATACATACACTTAAACTCACTAACATAGTTTATATATATTATTTTACCCAAACTAAGTTAGGTAACCAATGTTATCCCTAACAGTAATGTTTAATAATTTAAAAAAAAAACCCTCCTGGGGCCTTTCTTAATTCAGTAAGGATGGTGGATCAACAGCGAATGGAATGAAATAATGAATGGAATAAAGAATGAAATGGAATAACTTTATTGTCACTTTGAATGTACACTAATTGGCATACATTAAAATGAAATTACATTGCATACAGCTCTCAAAGGGTCTCAACCTCTAATATAAACATAAAATGACAAGATAAGTAAATAAATACAAAATTATGTGTGTACCCCCATATATTATATGACATGGAGAAACAAGACAGTCTAGTCCGGATATATACATGCACATGGAGAGAGAAACAAATCTTGCAAATAGGGAACAAAGCTGTTACAGAATCTGGAAGTCTTGCTAGAAATACTTTGAAACTTCCTCCCATAATGTGAAATGCAGTACAATGTTCAGCCTCCACATTGCTGCCACAAACGTAGAGCAGCTGTTTTCCAGAGCAGGCTTGGCAGGAGGGGCAGCATAGCTTCTATACAGGTCCAATTTCTATTTCCAAAAGTTTATTTTCTGAAAGTGTACGCCAAGGAAGCAGGGTTAGAGGAGCCCCGGGGGAGGGGGCATCTCGGGTTCCTCCTGGGCACCCTCTCATTGCTGGCTGCTCCTGGGTGAGCAGAGAGAACCCTTGTGCCAGGCGACCCAGAAAGATACAACCACACAGGGCTCCAGGCTCAAACTGGGGCTGTGAAGCCGGACAACTGACAGCCCCTGTGCCTTTTGGACTGTCCTTGTTGGGAAGAGCTCTCTGTCTGGGGTCTGAGCAGGGGAGAGAGACAAGGAGGGACTTCCGGCTGGATGCTGGATGCAGGTGCTGGCCATGTTTGTGGTGGTCTGGTGGCTCTCAAACAGGGTGTGGATCCCCCTCTCTGAGACAGCACACCCACCCCACCATAGAGGGGACAAGTTCTTCCAGGCTTGCCACTCCTGCTGGAAGGCCAGCAGCAAGCTGGGGCTGGGAGGGCCTTTGCCCAGCTTATTGCAAGTGGATCTGGAACAGGATGCATGGAAGGTGGCAGCTGACTACAGCCAGGTCAACTTGCAACTCCAGGACTATCACCTACTGTCTGTGGGCTGCCCTTGAGGAGGCCCTGGAAACCTTTGCTCGCCCCAAGTGCCACAGGAGGTGCTGAGTAGATACAGATACAGATTGTTAGAGTTGGAAGGGACTTTGTACGTCATTTAGTCCAACCCCCTACACCGTTTCTGACCAATGGCAGCTCAGTCTCTTCTTGAAAGCCTCCAGGGATGAAGCTCCCACAGCTTCTGAAGGCAACTTCTGTTCCATGGGTTGACTGCTCTTCCTGTCAGGAAATTCCTCCTTATTTCCTACTCTATAATCACAGAGTAGGCAGCCTGAGGCATGTCAGTGTCGTGCCATTGCTGTGACGCTTGTATTGGTCACTAGTCTTTTTCCAAATGTAGTCCAGGGAACCAGCTACCCCTGTAAAGCCCAGCGTGGTTCAGGGCCTGAGTCTCTAAGAGCCTAGGAGGAGTCAGCCCACTGAATCCAGGTGACCAGGGACTCCTTGCTGTAGATGCAGGTATTCCTTTCTTTGGGAGAGTTTGCCCCCTGCAACTGCCAAAGGCTTGTGTCGGAAGAAAAATCCAGTCCAGTTCCAAGCCAGGAGAAAGACACTGGAAATGCTGCAGGAAAGGAGGACTCTGTTTATTTGGATGCCAGAAACTTCAGTGACAGCAGCATGTTTGGGGAGGGGGAGGGCTGACAAAACGGGGTTGAGAGCAAGTGGGTTTTTATACATTCTTTAGGGATTTGAAATGCCTGTTCCTGTGCAAGAATGTGTCCAATATTTTAACGGCTGTTGCCAGATTCCTAGGGGGTCATGTAGGGGTCATGGCTGGCTCTACAGGCAAAAAGGGAAATGCAAATCTTGGTGTTTGTCTGAGCAAATATTGTCAGTTCTGGCTTGCCTAATTGTGCTGCTTGTTTGGAGTCTCTTTGCTTATGAATTGATTGGCCCAGCCTTTCTGAATGGATACAAAAATCTCCATTCAAAAAATCCAGCCTCTTCAAGCTTCTGCTTGAGGCTGTTTTCCTATGGCAGGAAGACCAGGGCTGCTTTCTGCTTTTGTTAAGATTTTTCTCCATTTCTCCTTTCTGGGACACATTCTACCCTGCCTCTTTTTAACATTAAGAATAACAAATATGTTAATGGGGGGGGCTTCCTAGTACAATTGCTTTTTCAGAAAGCCTTTGGGAGTAGATTCCCTGCTCTGATGATGTCTCCCATCAAGCAGCAGCCAAGCTCAGAGAGCGCCCAAGAAGCCAACAGCTCAACCTTGAGTGTCAATGTCAACAGACTGCCCCAAATAGGGTCCATACCTTCATAAATGATTTAAATGAGGGAATAAAAGGGGAGCTCATCAAATTTGCAGATGACACCAAACTGGGGGGAATAGCCAATAGACTCAATACTCAGAAGTTCTCGATAGACTTGACTATTGCTCCCTAATCCAACAAAATGCAATTCAGTGGTGAGAAAAGTAAGGTCTTACCCTTAGGTAGATGTAGGTAAAGCCCAAATGCACATGTAATGTACAGAACAGGTGGTACCTGATCAAGAGTAGTAACTACAAGTCCTAGAGGACAATAATTGAAATATGATCCAGCTGTCAAAAAAGCCAACTCAGTCCTAGGCTGCATGATTCCACTGCACACAAAGCGGCATGGAGAAGTTGCATATCATCTGCTTGGGCCCAGACAGGGCTGGCTTGCCACAGCCTTTTTAACAGATTCATAGAGTTGGAAGGGACCTTGTGGGTCATCCAGTCCAGCCCCCCCCCAAGCAGGAGACCCTACCCCATTTCTGATAGATGGCAGTCCAGTCTCTTATTGAAAGCCTCCAGGGATGAAGCTTCCACAACCTCTGAAGGCAACTTCTGTTCCATTGGTTGATTGTTCTCACTGTCAGAAAATTCCTCCTTATTTCCAGGTTGAATCTCTCCTTGATCAGTTTCCATCCACTGTTCCTTGTCTGGCCTTCGGGTTCCTTGGAAAACAGCTTGATCCCCTCCTCCTCAAGTATTGGAAGACTGCTATCATGTCTCCCCTGGTCCTTCTCTTCACTAGACTAGCCAGACCCAATTCCTGCAACCGGTATGTTTTAGTCTCCAGTCCCCTCAATCATCTTGGTTGCTATTCTCTGCCCTGTTTCTGGAGCCTCTCCGAATGGGACCTGCGGCTTGGGAAATGGTCGCTGAAAGTCCCATCCGGAAAGGCCCCTGGACAGAAAGGGGCATCCAAACGAGCCCTCATCCTCATCTCTCCCCCTTCTACCTCGGCGGGCGCTGGCTCCGCACACGGTAATACCGGAGGAAGAGGGAGAAGTCCCGAGCGCCTCCCCCTTCCCATGCCCTCTTGCCCTCGGGCCGGGCGCTCGGGGCAGCCGGAGCCTCCGAACTGGCGGAGCGGAGCGGGCGGCGGCCCTCCATGCCCGGATGGGGCTGGGCAGCTCCGGAGCCCGGTTCCTGCCCGGACGCCCAGGCGGGGAGCGGGGGAAGCGCTACGCTCCGAAGCCGTTGCAGATGCCGGGTGGGCGGCAGCGGTTTTCCCTCTCGCCGCCGGGCCCCGCTCGGACGCTTTCTCCCTCGGCCTTGGCCGGGGACGCAGCTGGCGGGGCAGCGCGGGAGGAAACGGGCGGCCGCCTGCCTCTCCCGTCTTCCCGCCGGCTTGGAGCCTGGCAGCGGCGGCGGCGGTAGCAACAAAGTCGCTCCTCCTGGCGGGACGCCTTTGAAGTCGGAGGCGAGGTGTGTGTGTGTGTGGGGGAGACAGGCCGGGGCGAGGGGGCGAGGCGTCTGCGCTTCCTCCTCCTCCTCCTCTCGCCGCCGCTCCCGGCCTCCGCAGACAGACGGGCAGCCGCGGACCAGCCCGGCGCTGAATCTCGCTGAGGCGGCTGACGGGAGGTACGCTCGCTCTCTCGCCCGCCGCCAACTTGCAAGGGGGGCGGGGGGGGGGGGGGCGGGGGGGGGGGGGGAAGGGCTCCGAGGAGGCGTCGAAAGGACCCCTTCCCGCTGGCTGGCGGGGCGCCGTCTGGCCCGCGCAGGGCGCCGTCTGGCCCGCGCAGGGCGCTCTGAGGCGGGAGGTGGGTGGTTACGTAACCGGCGGGCTGGAGGCTCTGGCTGAGTGGCGGGTCAGCGCTTCCCTCGCCCTGGAAGCCTGAGGGGGCCTGCTGGCATCCCTCCCCCAGACATTCCCCGGAGGTCCGCTGCTCAGGCTGAGGAAACGGGGGGGGGCTCCGGCTCGGGGGCACCAAAGCGCCCGGCGGTTGAGGGGTACACCGCCCCCCTTTGCGCCTCACGACCAAGGCGGCGGTCACGGCAACGGCGCCCCTGTGGGGCAGGTTGGCGAAGAGATCCGCTATGCGGCGGAGCAGGACTCGAACTCAGGACTCCCAGGCTCCACGCAAGCTCACCGCTGCGCTGGAAGGTCGAGTTGCTGCTCATGCGGTGACAAACGCACAAGTGGGTTGCACGCCGCTTGGGCGTCCCTTGTTCACCAAGTAGGAGCACTCTGGTCCCAACTTAAATAGCCATTTTCTAAGTAAGAGTTCAATATTCTCCCCTTAAAAAAACAGCACCTGTGTTAGGTCTACACAAAATGGAACGAAAGCCGAGAGTTGCATATGTGGCTTGTCCCAAAGGTGTTTTTTCAGCAGGCACTTTCAAACTTTCTTGGTTTTTCCCTTTGAGGATGTTTTGCTTCTCATCCAAGAAGCTTCTTCAGCTCTGACTGGATGGTGGGGAAGGATTTATACTCCTTGCAGACAGCTGGTCATTTGCATCCTTTTAGAAGGTAGTTGAGGCCACCTGGAGGTTTATCTGTTTCATCATGGTCACCTGAGTGGTGCTCCTGGTTCCCGTAGTCTGCATTTTTTTCCTCTCTGGAAATCCATTCCTACAGACTTCTAGCTATACAATTTGGGATGAACACCCCTGTAGGAATAGGAATGGATTTCTAGAGAAAAGAAAAGAAAATTGCAGACTACAGGAACTATTTGCATTGCAGGTAACCCTGAGAGGACATAGATAAACCTCCAAGCTGCCTCAATGACCCTCTAAAAGGATGCAAATGGCCAGCTGTCTGCAAGGAATATAAACCCTTCCATTCCCCACCATCCAGTCAGAGCTGAAGCAGCTTCTGGGATGAGAAGCAAAATGTCTTCAAAAGAAATAACAAGGCAGTCCAGTTCCCTCCTGAAAAAAAAAACCACCTTTGGGAGGTATTTATGGGAGGGGGAATGACTTTTCTGAGGATGCCCCTGAAGCCCATCCCACCCCATACCCTTTGCCTCCCCACCCACTGGCCGACCTTGCTAGGTAGACTTCTGTATGGGGGAGAAGGTGCTGCCCCAGATCTACAGTGCCTGGGTGGGTGGGAGGGGCCAGAATAGGAACTGGCCCATTTTCAGAATGTCGTTCAGTAGAGGAGCTTCCACAGTGCTCGGACACTGCTCCTTTAAATGGGCAAAGCTCCCCTGGTATCACCCACCAGGTAGGCCCCCTGGGAGAAGAAGGGTCGATGGCGGGGTGTTGCTTTTCCGTGCCTCAAGAGCTCCTCCAGGAGAGACGCAGGCAAATCTCCCTAGGGCTGCCCATGGAGGAGGCGCGTCTGGGTCACATCGCCCCAGGCTCTTTGCTGGCAGCCAGTCCAGACCACAGACCAAATCTGTGCAGTTTGGAATGTGCAGCGTCTTTGCTGCTGGTGGCGACAGCCAGAGATGAGCAGAGTTTTAGGAAGTTCAGTCTCTTGGCAGCAAGAAGCGATGGGGTGGGGGGAGGGATCAAGAGGAGGAGGAACCTGATCTTCTTTAAGTGGCTATGAGTAAATCCTCAATTTTGGGCTGTGGAACAGAGGAGGTCAACGTATGGGAGCCTGTTGGGTTGTTCTCCTTTTAAAGAGTATATACTTATACAAAAGTAAGCCGATAATGTTCAGCACTGCTGATTCAGTTGTAGTTAAGTATCTCTGGAAAGGATTTGGGAGCTAGGCTTGTTAAAGTATTTTAACAAATGGAGAGCAAAGTGTTTGCCAAGCCAATGCTATGTCCACTGGTCAGCCAGTACCGTTTTCATGGTCCAGAAGAGCATATCATTAGATGCCTCAGAGTGGAGTGGAAGGGCGTGACGAGTGGGCAGAATCAGAGGTCCATCATCATCAGTAAAAAATTACGTTTTAATCTTGGTTGAGAATATTATTTTTCTCTATTTACGTTGACTGCTAGGGCTGCATGGAGCATTGAAAAGAAATGCTCTGGAAGCATCTGGACTATCCCTACTAGTCTCAACCCAGGTGAGCACAGCTGTTTGTGCACCTGTGAAAGCCACTGGCCGAAGCCTTTGGGGAACCCTTTAAGGAATGTCTATGGAGTTTCTCAGTCCTCCAGGTCATGGTCGTCCTAAAGGCACTTTTTTTCCCCAAGAGGCAACTGGACTTTCTGGTTTTTCCTTAAAGACATTTTGCTTCTCATTCAAGGAGCTTCTTCAGCTCTGACTGGATGGTGGAGAATGGAAAGATTTATACTCCTTTGCAGAAATCTGGTCATTTGCATCCTTTTAGCGGTTCCATGGTTTACTGCCTTCAGCTATGGGTTACTGCCTTGTTGTGGCGAAGGGACTTGCATAGCTCAATGAAGCTATGAGCTATGCTGTGCAGGGCCATCCAAGATGGACCGGTCATAGCAGAGAGTTCTGACAAAATGTGATCCACTGAAGAAGGAAATGGCAACCCACTCCAGTATCTTTGCCATGAAAACCCCATGGACAACACCAAAAAGCAAAAAGATATGACTCTGGAAGATGAGCCCCTCAGGTCAGAAGGTATCCAATATACTAAAGTAGGAAGCCAAAAGATAACTGGAATAAGAGGCAAGTTTGGCCTTGGAGTACAAAATGAAGCAGGGTGATAGAATTTTGTCAAGAGAATATGATGGTCATAGCAAACCCTCTTTTCCAAAAACCCAAGAGATGGCTCTACACATGGACATCACCAGATAGTCAACACAGAAACCAGATTGATTATGTGCTCTGCAGCCAAAGATGGAGAAGCTCTATACAGATAGTAAAAACAAGACCAGGAGCCGACTGTGACTCAGATCATGAGCTTCTTGTTGCAACATTTAGGCTTAAATTAAAGAAAGTATGGAAAAGCACTAGGCCACTCAGGTATGAACTAAATCATATCCCTGATGAATATACAGTAGAGGTGACAAATAGATTTAAGGAATTAGATCTGATAGACAGAGAGTGCCTGAAGAACTATGGATGGAGGTTCACAAGATTGTACAAGAGGTAGCAACTAAAACCATCCCCCACAAAAAAAAGAAATGCAAGCAAGCAAAATGGCTGTCTGAGGAAAATAGCTAAGGAAAGAAGGGAAGCAAAAGGCAAGGGAGAAAGAGAAAAATACACCCAAGTGAATGCAGAATTCCAGAGAATAGCTAGAAGAGATAAGAATGCCTTCTTAAACGAACAGTGCAAAGAAATAGAAGAAAACAACAGAATAGGAAGGACCAAAGATCTCTTCAAGAAAATTGGAGATATGAAGGGAACGTTTCATGCAAAGATGGGCTTGATAAAGGCCCAAATTGGCAGGGACCTAACAGAGGCAGAAAAGATTAAGAAGAGGTGGCAAAATTACACAGAAGAATGATACAAGAATGAACTTAACGTCCCTGATAACTATGATGGGGTGGTCACTGACCTTGAGCCAGACATCCTAGAATGTGAAGTGAAATGGGCCTTAGGAAGTCTGAGCAACAACAAAGCTAGTGGAAGTGACAGTATTCCAGCTGAGCTATTCAAACTTTTAAAAGATGATGCAATAAAAGTGCTACACTCAATTTGCCAGCAAATTTGGAAAACTCAACAGTGGCCACAGGATTGGAAAAGGCCAGTTTACATTCCCATTCCAAAGAATGGCAATGCCAAAGAATGTTCAAACTGTTGCACCATTGTACTCATTTCACAGGCTAGTAAAGTTATGCTTAAAATCCTACAAGCTAGACTCCAACAGTATGTGGATCGAGAACTACCAGAAGTACAGGCAGGATTTTGAAGAGGCAGAGGAACTAGAGATCAAATTGCCAACATACGCTGGATCATGGAGAAAGCTAGGGAGCTCCAAAAATACATCTGCTTCTGCTTCATTGACTATGCTAAAGCCTTTAATTGTGTGGATCACAACAAATTGTGGCAAGTTCTTAAAGAGATGGGAGTACCAGACCATCTGATTTGTCTCTTGAGAAACCTATATGTGGGTCAAGAAGCAACAGTGAGAACTGGACACGGAACTACTGATTGGTTCAAAATTGGGAAAGGAGTCCGGCAAGCCTGTATACTGTTGCCCTGCCTATTTAATTTATATGCAGAGCACATCATGAGAAAGGCAGGGCTAGATGAATCACAAGTTGGAACGAAGATTGCCGGGGGAAATATCAATAACCTCAGGTATGCAAATGATACCACTCTAATGGCAGAAAGTGAAGAGGAACTAAAGAGCCTCTTGATACAGGTGAAGAAGGAGAGTGCAAAAGTTGGCTTGAAACTCAACATTAAGAAAACTAAGATCATGGCATCCGCCCCTCTCAATTCCTGGCAAATAGATGGGAAAGAAATTGAGGTAGTCACCCAATTATCTTCCTGGCCTCCAAGATCACTGCAGATGGGGACTACAGCCAAGAAATCAAAAGACGCTTGTTCCTGGGGAGGAAAGCTATGGCAAATCTAGACAGCATACTAAAAAGCAGAGACATCCCCTGCCAACAAAAGTGCATAGAGCCAAGGCTTTGGTTTTCCCAGTCGCAATGTATGGCTGCGAAAGTTGGACCATAAGGATGGTTGAGCGCCAAAGAATGGAGGTCTTTGAACTCTAGGGCTGGAGAAGACTCCTGTGAGTCCCTTGGACTGCAAAGCGATCCAACCGGTCAGACCTAGAGCTCAACCCTGACTGCTCTTTAGAAGGCCAGATCCTGAAGAGGAAACTCAAGTACCTAATGAGAAGGAAGGACTACCTGGAGAAGAGCCTGCTGGGAAAGATTGAGGGCAATAGAAGAAGGGGAAGACAGAGAATGAGGGGGCTGGATGGAGTCACTGAAGCAGTAGGTGTGAGCTTAAATGGACTTCAGAAGATGGTAGAGGACAGGGAGGCCTGGAGGAATGTTGTCCATGGAATCGCGATGGGTCGGACCAGACTTTGCAACCAACAACAACAACAACAAAGCGGTTCCAAGAAGATATCTACACCAATTTGCACCACTCAGTTCAAATTGTCCCTGATGCATCAATTTGACCTTGATGACACAGATAAACTTCCAGGTGACCTTAACAACCCGCTAAAAGGATGCAAATGACCAGCTGTCTGCAAGGAGTATAAATCCTTCCCTTCTCCACAAAACTAGAAAGTCCAGTTGCCTCTTGAAAAAAAAAAAAAGCACCTTTGAGACCTTTAAGGAAGGGCCCTTTGCGGAAGGCCTCTTTGGACTCCTTCACGACGCTCATTACATTACACGTCATACCTTTTTAAAATATTGATTTGCAATATTTACATGACCCACCCATCCTAGAACCAGAACTCGAGACAGCTTACAACCACAGGATAAAACAGTATCATACAAAAAGCGAAACAGAAACAGAAAAAAGCGACTTTACAGCAACCTTCCCATTGCCACTCAGCTCTTCTCCAAACCCCAGATTCGCCCTCTCCCCACATCTCTTTACCACTTTCTGGAAGGGAGGGGAGGGCATTTCCCAGGGCCAGAGCTGTGGTAAGATACAGCTCACCACATTTTTATGTATTAACATTTCTGCTCCATTTCCTGTTACAAATCATCTTTGGGGTGACTAATAGCACTAACATAAAATAATAATCAGACATGAAAAACGAGTTAGAATAACCAATAAAAAGTAAGTTAGCACTCGAGTGAAACCTTACTTTAGTCTAGTAGAAGGAAGAAGAATTGTCCTGAACTGCCGACCACTCCAAATGCTGCTCAGTCAACTGAAATTGGACATTTGTGTGTGTGTGTGCGTGTGTGCGTGTGTGTGAAATAATTTCCCCTTTATTCATTACTTTAACTGTGTGCAAGATTATTTGCTTGAATGTCAGATATTTATTCCAAAATACCCAGAGGCTCTTTACTGAGGGGGTATTTTGAATATTTGGCTAAATTAACCACCCCTGCCAGTGGCTCGTGTTGGGCTGGAAGTGATCAGTGATGCCTTCACTTTGCTTCTCAGCTCAATACTTCCAATAAACATATTGAGAAGGATCCCTCTTCAGGTCTTCAAGGCCTCCAGATTGAAGCGATCTTTGCAATCCTTCTATAATGATCAGGTTTTGCTACTTGCTTTGTTAGGATGAGGAAAGTCAAACGCAGCTGGGACCACCGAGTTCCTCGTGGCTGTTCCCACCTCCAGAGGACTCTTGTGCTTGCGTTGTTCGTGGTGAATGCTGCTCTGGCATTTTCACAGGTGAATATTTTCTTCTGGGCGATTTCATGCACAAGTTCTCTTTCATTTATCTTTCATGCACAACTCCTTCCTCCTCCTTTTTTGTCCTATATTTCTCGAGAAAGGTTTATTTGTTAACTTTCAATGGTTGAACTTTATTGCATTGTCAGTTGTCTGAATAGTAGAAAAGTATTTCGCCCTCGGCCCTTGTCTGTAAATTGCTCTCCCATTTTGAGCTTTCCAATAATGGGATCTGCGACTGGTCAGAGAATATCCCCACTGCTGTGGGTAGGGCTGCTTCACACTTTCACCCACATCTGGGAAGGGAAAGGAACACAATTCCTGGCCATTGCAGTGGGAAGAGCAACCTTTTTTATACCTTCATTCACTCAGCTTTGGCACAAAGGAAAGTCCAGGGGAAAAGACTGAGGACAGACAAACCTTAGGGAGAGCAAAGAGATGCACTCTCTTCAGATAGCAATAGCACTAGCACTCAGACTTATACACTGCTTCACAGGGCTTTTACAGCTCTCTCTCTAAGTGGTCTACAGAGTCAGCCTATTATCACCAACAATCTGGCTCCTCATTTGACCCACCCCGGAAGGATGGAAGGATGAGTCAACCTTGAGCCTGGTAAGATTTGAACTGCCAAATTGCAGGCAGCCGGCAGGTAGCAGGAATAGCCTGCCTGCAGTACTGCACTCTAACCACTGCGCCATTGCGGCCCTACAGATCCCTGAAGGTCCCTTATGGGAAGCTCTTGGAGGTGAATCATGCCAGTAGCATGAAGACAGTTCCCACTTGATAGAAAAAAATCTTAGCAGGAAGAGCAGTTGAATGTGTGTGTCTTTCCTGTGTTGTGTTCAAGTGGAGGCTGAACAGCCCTCTACCTGGGTGTTTGAATTCAGGGTTCCTAAGCTAGGCAGAGGGTTCCACTCTTAGCCAGTCCAAATTCAGCCAATGTGGTGCCACCTGGATGTTTTGGGAACTCTGAGGTGCTTTGGCTGGTAACTTTCCACACTCCAGGCAAACAGCCTTGAAGACAGCACAAACTGATCCCATGGTGATCTCCTTGTCTTCAGTTATCATCCCCCTTCCTAATCCCCACACAAGAATGCATACAGGTTTATTGCTGCCTCCCTTCCCCAGCCCTTTGATGGCAGGATGCCAGTGCTGCACCAAGCCTAAGATGCTGGACCTGACAATCAGTTATACTAGACTTAATTCCTAGTAATAGAGATGATATGATAGAAGGGGTTGAGGATGCAGAAACATTGGGGAACATGACCATATGATACTATAATTCAACATAATACAGCACATATAATCAATCAAAATCAAATGTATGTCTTAGACTTTAAGGCAGCTGACAAACTTACAAAGATTTTAAGAAGGATTCCATAGATGGAAGTCTTTAAAGAGGCAAATAACTCAAAACACTTGGGAAACTCTGAAAAATGAAATTATAAAAGCACAGTCTAACACAATATTACTGAGAAGAAAAACAAGTGCCCCAAGATTAAACTAGCAGGATTATATAAAGAATACTCTGATCAACTGAGAGACAAAAAAAGTCAAGTGGAAAGAGGGACACATACTGTATAACTAAAACAGAATACCAGCAAATAGTGCAAATCTGTAAGGATGAAATCTGGAAAGCTAAAGCTCAGAAATTGCAACCATGCCAAAAACAATTTTAAAAGTCTCGTTCATCATGTAAAAAAACAAGAAATAACTCAGGGAAAGCAGATGTAAAAGATGAAAGAAATGGTAAAGGGCAAAGAAGAAAACCCACAAAGCACCAAAGTTGAACACCAGGTTTTTATTGCAGGATGAGGAGAAAGCACAAGGGTAAAGAAATGCTGAAGGAGGCCTTGTTCTGCCTCTGAGTCTTCTACACCTAGCAGAATGCAAAGGAAGACCTGTAACGTTCATTCTGCAAGACAGAAGGCCCAAGGAACGGATTTCCATTGCACAAAATCCAAATCAACATTTCTTAATGCTAAGAACTGATGCTTTAAGCCTGTCTTTGGCTTTCCTGCAAATATAATAAACATTTCTGAATGCCTTTATCTGGATGAAGTTCTTTTAGAAGATATTTGGGAACAAACAAATACTTCAGAGTTACAAGAGCTGGGGAAGAAAAAAACAACTTATTTTGGGTGTTGACGTAATATTTATAATACATGTCAAGATTGTGATTTGCAAGCGCGTCAGTTCCTTGGGGTCATCTCGGGCCAGGTTGCGATCCAGCCCTTTCCAAGAACTATTTAACTCAGCCATCAACAATCTGGAGCCTGCAGAGGCTTCTGCCTCCCCTCTTGGCTGTCCCAGGGCTCTTTTCCCGCTAGTAGAGGCTGTTGCCTCAGATGAGTCATTTGTCTGCTTTCATAATTTAAGCAACCTTGCAAGTAGAGACCTGGGAGAGTGGATTTCAGGGAGCCAAAGCACTCTGCAGAGTTGAGAAATTCACCTCCAAAGCCTGGAAATTCACACAGAGCTGCTTAAGGAGACGTTGCCCACACAGATGGAAGCTTGAGTAACACTCATTCCTCTATCAGGCGATTCTGGGAACAGCCGCTTGGTATGTAGTTATTGAAGAACTCTTGAAGAGAAGATTCTAAATTCCCGGGGTTCTGCACATAAAGCCTAGTAATGGGTATAAAAACTGAATGTTATGGATGCTGTTCCATTTTTTAAAAGATTTCTTTTATCTTGCCTTTACTATTTTTATAAAACAAAACCTTCCTCCTGTTTTCCCACAACAACCACCCTGTGGGTTGGGCTGAGACAGAGTGACTGGTCCAAAGTTACATGCCCAAGGTGGGGCTAGAACTCACTTTCCTGGTTTCTGCCTGGTGCCCTCACCACTAGACCAAACTGGCTCTATATTCTCATACATTCTCACAGTTATGCCACATTTTCATCAAGAATGCCTTTGAAGGTAGAAAAACAAGCCATGAGGGTATCTGACACCTCTCTTGTTTTTAAACCCAATTAACTGATCTTCCAATCAGTTTGGTGATGATGGAATGAAAGAGAGGGGATATTGCAGGCAATAAGAAAAAAAACAAGACCCCAACCAATTGGGGCCAAAGTCTCACTGAAATAAAACCAGGTTTCTAGAAGGTCAGCAAACTTACCCAGGAGGGGCACTGCATACAAATTATAAATTATATCTAATATTTGGTTATAATTTTTCCAACAACTCATATCTATAAATATATTTTATTTTCAACTGATCAACCGTTCATTGTATGTTTTAGCCCCCAGTCCCCTCATTGTCCTGGTTGCTCTTCTCTGCCCTCTTTCTAGAGTCTCAACATCTTTTTTATAGTGTGGTGACCAAAACTGGACGTAGGATTCTAGGTGTGGCTTTACAGAGTGGTATTAGTACCTCCTTTGATCTTGATTGTATCCCTCTGTTAATGAGTCTTAGGATTGTGTTGGCTTTTTTTGGCTGCTGCCGGACACTGCTGGCTCATATTTAACTGGTTGACCAGACTCCAGGATCCCTCTCACAGTTACTGCTATTAAGCCTGGTTTCTCCCAGTCTATGTGTCCTTTTGTTTTTCTTGCCTAAGTGTAAGACTTTAGTTTTCTCTACACTGAATTTCATTTCGTTCTATGGACTCTATGGAAGCCACCATCATCCAGAGGGGCACTTCAGCTCTCTAGGAGATGGTTGCTCTAGAAGAAACAGGGGAACCAGATTTAAGGAAAGATGGAGCCTCCTCATGGTTTCAGCCTAAACTTGTCCAGGTCAATCTGAACCAGAATGCTACCACAGTAGAGAGGTTACACCCTCACAGTTCTCATCTACCATGGCTTGGGGCAACATAAAATATCCAATCCAAGTGACTTGTCTGTCTTCCTGTAATAGGCTGTCCTCAAACAAATAGATTGTGTGATGGCCTGGGAAACACAACATGCAAAAAATAGTGTCTGGGCTTGTGCATGTATGGAAGCCCTCTGGCTTTTGTGTCATTCTTGATACCATTCAGCTCTTTTCTGAAGTCTCTGGCTTTTCTTATGGAATCACAGGTAGTACAAGTTAGCTGTGATGTAGGATTCAACCACGCACAGGATTCACCAAGTCTGGCCTGAATCCCTGAAGATTCCTCCTTTTTTGTTATATTTTTGTTCTATATTTCAAGTATGCATCATCAACCCTACCTTTTTTTTCTTTGCTTCCTGATGGCAAACAGGATAACGCACCAGCTTCCAACAGCCTTGAAGAAGGAGCTGATGTCATGGCCTACTGGTGGGGCGAGTGGACCAAGTGGTCAGCCTGCACTCGGACGTGTGGTGGAGGAATCCGCTTCCAAGAAAGGCATTGCCTGCAACAGAGGTAACATTGGTGGCTTCGTCCCTCCATCGTGGCTCACTCTAGCTATGTTGCAGTCTCTTCCAGAAAGTGTGTTTTGGGGTTCAGAACATCTTTGCATTCAGAAGCAACTGGAATGATGCTGTGTGGGGTCTTTTTTAACAGATTAACAGAGTTGGAAGGGACCTTGTAGGTCATCTAATCAACCCCCCCAAAACAGGAGCTCCTATGTCAGTATTGGCAAACCTATGCCACGCAAAGTGGAACACAGAGCCATCTCAGTGGGCATGCCAGCTGTCGCCCATTGCTCTTCCGGGTTCTAACACGCGTATGCATGGCGGCCAGCTGGTCTTCATGCACACAGGAGCATCGGAAACCAGAAGAGCAGCTTAACCAGCTGGTCTTCGTGTGTACATGCACACCAGAAACCAGAAGACCAGGTGGCCGGTGTGCATGTGTGTGCCGGAAACCGGAAGCTCAGCTTCCCAGCATGCAGATGTGCTCTGGGGAGCTGCTCTTGCGGTTTCTGTTGCTCCCGCCCATGCATGCCAGGGAACTGCTCTTCCAGTTTCTGGCGCACGTGCGCTCCCATTTCAGCACTCAGTGCCAAAAAGTTTCGCCACCACTGTCCTATGCCACTTCTGACAAATGGCAGTCCAATCTCTTGAAAGCTTCCAGTGATGAAGCTCCCACAACTTCCAAAGGCAACTTCTGTTCCATCAGTTGATTGTTCTCACTGATAAGAAATTTCTCCTTGTTTCCACATTGAATCTCTCCTTGATCAGTTTCCATCCTTGTCTGGCCTTTGGGTACTTTGGAAAACAGGTTGACGCCCTCCTCCTCTCTGTGGCAGCCCCTCAAATATTAGAACCAGTTGCCTTGGATCCACCCCACCTACCATCTGGGGTGGCCATGCACTCTAAAACTGCTGGCTGCACAAATAGATTCTGGTCACCCACAGCCTGCCCCATAGCCAGAAAGGGCAAGTAAAGAGAAATAGGAAAACGAGGGGGCCAAATCAAAAACTCAGGCCACACTAATGAGAGCAAGCAAACAAATGATATTTTTAAAAGCTGAATGGTTAATGATAGTGAGCTGCTTGGTTTAGGTTTAGGGCAGGGGTCCCCAAACTTGGCAACTTTAAAACTTGTGGACTTCAACTCCCAGAATTCTCCAGCTGGCTGGAGAATTCTGGGAGTTGAAGTCCACAAGTCTTAAAGTTGCCAAGTTCGGATACCTCTGGTTAAGGGAAATCACTTCACCAGGAAATGTGCACCAGGTCTACTGCTTGAAAATTGTCATGCTTTCCAGCCCTTGGCTTCTGCTCCCACAACGCCAGATAGGAATGCAACAAGACTGCTTGCACCCATGATCTGATCATGGATCTTCTCATGAACGAGGGTTGCAAACCTGGTGTTTCATCAAAGCCTGATTGGGCCTCTCAGAAACCAGCCACTCACATTTCAGATTCTGGTTGAAGTATTTTATTTTCATTCTTTTAGGGGTTTTTTAATTTTATTTTCAGGACTTATATGGCCACTTATCTCATACAGTGACTCTAGCCTCTCATAACATAAAACATAGTTAAAAATATATCCACACACACACACACACACACACACACATGGCACCAGGCCAAAACATCATCACCACTCAACCCTCCCATCCTAGTCAGTGGAAGAGGAAGAAAATTCTGAAAACAAAATGTTAATTTGGCCTTTATTGTAGTTATTAATATATTTGTGGTGTTTCTTCCTGAATACAGCAATTTGGATAACTGTTATGTATTGTATATAGTGCCGTGATGGTGAACCTATGGCATGTGTGCCGGAAGTGGCATGCAGAGCCAGTTTTGCCGGCATACAAGCTGTCGCCCGGAAGAGATCCACAGCACATTCGCGTGTGCCTCCCACCAGCCATCTGATTGTCGGGTATCTGCCACGCATGCAGGGGGGAAGGTATAGCAGATGCACATGCGTGCGCAGGACGGCAGGGTGCATGCAAAGGGAATCGTGCATGCATGTGCAGTGAGCAGGGGGTCGCGTGTGCATTGCATTATTTGGCACGTGACGACGAAAAGGTTAGCCATCACTGATATAGTGAATAGTTGTCAGATGAAGTTCTCATTCTGGTCCTCTGTTGGTGCGGGAAAATACTCTGTCTTGATTGGTTGATTGGCTGATCAGTTTCCTATAAAAGGAGCTCTGTCAGCCAGGGAGACTAAGTTGCCTCACAGGCAGTCTTGAATAAAGAGCTGTTAGAAATCGCTCTGGCCTCACCTCCATTCTTCGCCCAGAACATAACAATAACAGTGCTGCATCTTGCTATTTAAGAATGAGAGCAGCCCTGCAGGACCCCTGAGTCCCTTAAATCCCGACTTTCTCAGTGAAAACCTCCACTTACTGGGGCTGTGCTTGCAGGATAAAAACGAGGCATCTTCTCTAACTGGCAATTAGATTGAAAAACGCTCTAACAGGAATGTATTTTTAGTCCTGAAATAGTTGTGTGTAACTGCTAGAAGTGATAAAAATGGGAGATAAGCCCCCATGCATTTGGTACAGGCAGCGTGAGAATTGTTATCACTGTCCTCTTTTTATTTAAAATGATTTAATGAAAATTGAAAAATCATGCCATCTGTCCTTTTATATTTAGAAGGAAGTTGGCGACAGGATTTCTTAATAAAACCTGCAATGGGATGTCCAAAAGATATCAGCTGTGTGAAGTGCAGGTAAGAGAGTTAAATAGGGGGGCGGGCAGGGGGGCTCAAGTGGGATCTGCCTGGACAAGGAAGAAACTTGGCTGGCAAAAGTTCCATCAGTGAGAGTAAAGTCAATCTTCAACTTAGAACCACCATTGGGGCCAGAATGTCTGTCATTAAGCGATGCAGTTCTTAAGTGGGTCATGTCTAATGACCTTTTTTGCTGCTGTTGTTAAGCAAGTTGTCACAGTTGTTAAGTGAGTCACATGGTTATTAAGCGAATCTGGCTTCCCTCATTGACGTTGCTTGTTAGGAGACCCCTGGGAAGGTCACAGATGGCGATCATGGGATCCCAGAATGCTCCCTCAGTCTGATCCCTCAAGGAAGTGAAACTCCCGACTCCATTCGGTTGAAGTGAAAAGGCACTTCTACTAAGACATGCTGATTGCAGTAAAGTCAAGCAGAATCTAAACTTTCCACATGCTAATACAGAACTGAACCCATTTCTGCAGCCCCCTTTGTGGACTGCCCATGTGTAGCCAATCCAGCACCACTGAGATGTTTTGGGAAACTCTGAGGTGTTTGTGCTGGTGAAATTCCACTCTCAGGGTAGACGGCCTTGAAGGTGCCAGCACTAGCACGAACCAGATTCCAAACGGCTCTATTCTTTCCCACATGTCAATTTCTCCTTCCCAATTTTCCTCCATAAAGGTGTACAGCTTTATTGCCCATTTGTTGTCCCCTCTCACTTCCCCAATTGATGGCAGAATGCCAGCAAGGCGCTAAGTCGAAGGTGGTGGATTTGACAGTCCCTACTTTCTGCTCTGTTGTAACTTTGATCATTAAATGAATGGGTCATTTGTCATATGTCAAAGATTACCTGTGCTAACACTTCTCTATTTCGAGACTTCGTTTGGCTTTCTCCTGGAAGGTATGGATTCTTTGAAGCTGCAGAGCACACAAGTTGAGAAACACCTTGCACCTCCCCTTTAATTATGATGTCCAAGCTTGGTTTTGAAGGCAGGGGGCAGCTTGAGGAGCCATCAGGGCAGGGGCTGCCTGGGCCTCACCTTCTCTTCCTTCCAGCAGTGTCCTCCAAGTGGAAGGAGCTTCCGGGAGGAGCAGTGCTCCTCCTTCAACTCCCGGGTCTACAACGGGCGCACCTTCCACTGGAAACCTTTGTATCCAGGTAAGCAAGTGGCGCTCTTTGGTCTTCGCAGCACAAAACAAGGTTGAAGGTTTAAAATGAATGGGGCTCTTTCCTGCTCTGGGAAAAAAGAAAATCTGTGCAAGATGCTGTGTGTTTGTTCTCTTGTTTTATTTATTTGAAATATTTATATAGCTGCCCATTTTGTAAAATACCACTGACTAGTTCACAACAACAGCAAAATAGTAAGACGAAACTGGCACTCACATCTCCCTCCATTCTTCTTTATGCCCTGGTTCCAACCTACTGTCCCAGCACCTGGTGGGAAAGGTGCAGGGGTGGGATTCAACCAGTGTTACTACTGGTTTGGTGACTGTTTTACGCGTGCATGCATGCCTGACACGCGCTGCATGCACATGTAAAAAAACCATCCGCTGTGCCGCCCGGACAGCTGAAAAGCGCTGCGCGCAGGTGCACAACATTTGAAAAGCCTCTTTTTTCCTGCTTTTTCAACCTCAGTTGTGCTGCGCAAAGCAGCTGAGGTTGAAAAAGCAGGAAATAAAGGACAGGTAAGACAGGTAAGGACAGGTGGGCGGGTGGGCCAAACAGCAACAAACACAGAACTGGTTCGGTGTCTTCTGCTCTTCAGAGCTACTGGTTCTATAGAACCAGGCAGAAGCAGTAGAATCCCACCCCTGGAAATGCACTTTCAGGAAACTGAAGTGGGTGGACCCCTCCTGTTGTCCAGGGGAAGAGT